GCCGTTGAACGGATGTTCAACAGTCATTTATGTTGATTGTAAACGGCTGAGTCGTGGATGTCGCTGCATTTGTAGGTGTATTCGGTCCTTGATGAAGTGGTAATGAGTTGGTAGACTTCTGCTTTCTTTTGAGAAGATGAATAATGCTGATGATCATTACGAATATTAATCCAATATAAATGGCTATTTGATGATGTTCGATGTAGATTTTTTCCTTTTTGGTGTGGTCTCCTCAACCACCGCGTCGTCAGAGTTCTCGGGTAGTGGGTGCTTATTTGTTGGTTCTTCCTCTGCGAATAATGGAGCAATGTGTTGAATGTCGCGCTTAAAAACTCCTTTTGATGTTTTTACTTCAACTACTCTGACGAAATTGTCTTTTCCAGGGATTATCTTGATAATTCGTCCCATTGGCCACTGCAATACTGGTATATTGTCTTCTTTTATTAAGACTAATGCTCCTTCCTTTATATTTGCTGAGGAGCGTCTCCATTTTTGCTTCTGCTGTAGTTGTTGAAGATAATCCGTTGACCATTGCTTCCAAAATGCGTGTTTGAGTTTTGATACAGCTTGCCATCGCTGTCCTAAAGTCTGGGGTTGCTGAGACGGTTCCCTGTCAGCCTGGGCGGTGAGTGGTTCTCCAATGAGAAAATGACCTGGAGTGATTGCTGTCAAATCATTTGGATCATTCGACATGGGAACTAAAGGTCGAGAATTGAGTATTGCTTCGATCTCGACAATAACAGTTTCTAACTCCTCATAAGTTAGATTAGCTGTGATAACATTTTTTAACAGCAAATGCTTAGCTGATTTTACCGCAGCTTCCCACAATCCTCCAAAATGCGGAGCTCTTGGTGGAATAAATTTGAAATTAACTCCTTTGTCAATACAATTTTCGACAATGCGTTTTCTTGCCTTTTCTGAAAATATGGCATCTTCCAGCTCCTGAAGCTTATTCCTTGCTCCAACAAAATTAGTCGCATTATCACAATGTAAAGTTTGACATTTTCCTCGCCGACTGATAAAACGACGAAGTGCTGCCAAAAACGCTTCGGTTGTAAGATCACTCACTAACTCCAGATGGACTGCTTTAGTTGCAAAACAGCAAAATATTGCGATATATGCGGTATGTGGTTTTTTACCACGAATTTTGTAGTGAATTTTAAATGGTCCACAGTAGTCAACACCAGAATTCAAGAATGGTCTTGCTTGAGTTATTCTTAATGGTGGTAGGTTTCCCATTATTTGCTCTAATAGTTTTGGTTTGGCTCTGGTACATTTGACGCAATTTAGAATGACACTTCGGGCGATTGTTTTTGCTTTTATTGCCCAATATCTTTGCCGTGAAATGGCCACCAGAGCTTGGGTACCACAATGCATATTGTCTTTATGCAATTTTTCAAAAATTAACTTTACAAGTTGGTCGCTATATGGAAGTAATATTGGGTGTTTCGCATCAAATGACAATTCAGCGGCTTCCAATCTACCTCCAACTCTGATAAGATTATCCTGGTCTATGAAGGGTGTGAGTGCGCTTAGGCTGCTGCTTCTTTCCACTTCACGAGAATTTTTTAAGCTCTTAAACTCCTTGTTGAAGTGTTTTTGTTGAATTATGCGGAGAATTACTTTTCTTGCTTGTTCCAATTCATCTAATTGAATCGTTACACCTTTTACTTGTGGCCTTGTTTTTACACGCATAATGTATGCTACTATTCTTAATAGCTTGGAAATGGAATTCCTATGATTAATGCGGTATAGTACACTATCGTTTTGCACTGACAAAAGAGATGTTTCTGTCGCTTTGGTGATGCGCTCAGCTTTAGATGCAATAAATGGTGCAGGCCATTTTGATGGCGGCCCATATAAAAATAGGGGACCAAAAAACCACAGGTTGTGATTTGCAAATTTGGAACCACAAATTCCTCTTGAAGCAACATCTGCGGCATTTTGTTCTGATGATACGTGGCGCCATTCCTTTTGCAGAGATGTTTCCTGGATCGTCGTTATTCGTGTTGCCACAAATTTATCCTTTATTGTGGTAGGACTATTTATCCATGATAATACAATTTCCGAGTCTGCCCAGTAGTATGTTGGGACGGCTTGCATGGATAATTGCTCTTTTACAGTGAACGTCAACTGTGCACCAAGTACTGCCGCTTTCAATTCCAGTCGAGGAAGAGTGATTTGACTTATTGGAGCCAAATGCGATTTTGCACACAGTAATTGTACAGTCACTCTTTTGTCTTTATGAACTGCTCGAAGATAGACAGCTGCTGCATACGCATTTTCAGACGCATCAACAAAAGTGTGGATCTCCTTTGAGGTCGGCACTTGACCTTCAAAAATATGACGTGAAATTTTTATGTTGTTCAACGCCTCTAAGCTGTTGCGGAATTGTATCCATTGTTTTTGTAAGTTATCAGGCAAATCCTCATTGTAGTCGAACTTCTCCTTTGTTAAACTTTGCATAAATATTTTTGCTTTAATTACGACTGGCGAGAATAACCCAAGTGGATTAAATATTTTAAATATCTCTGAGACAACATCTCGCCTTGTAATTTTTTGTGTTGTAGCAATTTGTGTCTTTCCGCAAAGCTTATCTATCTTGGGATTCCAGATAATTCCAAGAGTTTTGATACTGCAATCTTCGTATGCCGTATCTTCCAATTGTACATTAGGGATTATATCATCTTTGTTTAATCCCTGTAAAAGTTGGTTGCTGTTTGCGCACCATTTTCTTAGCTTGAATCCCGAACTGATTAATATTTTATTAAGTTCAGTCCGGATTTGTAGTGCTTCCTGGATTGTGTCTGCTCCGGTAATGCAGTCATCCACATAGAAGTCATTTTTAAGCGCAGCCGCTCCTACAGGATACTGCTGTACTTGCTTTGATGCCAAATAGTCTAGGCATTTCGTTGCTAAATAAGGTGCAGACTTAGTGCCATATGTCACTGTTTTCAGTCGATAGTATTTCAACTTTTCGGAAGGGTCGTTTCTCCATACGATCATCTGATATTGCTGATCTTTGGGATTTATCCAAATCTGCCTATACATTTTCTCAATGTCAGCCGTAAAGACATATTTATGTAGTCTAAATCTTAATAATATAGACATGAGAGTATTTTGCACTGTTGGACCTTTGTGCAATAAATCGTTTAATGACTTTCCAGAAGATGTTACCGCTGATGCATCAAATACAACCCGTAGCTTTGTTGTATGGCTATCTGGCTTTAGGACACAATGATGAGGTATGAAATAGTGCGATCTTGGCAGATTCGCAAGAGGAACTTCCTTCATATGTCCAAGCTGTTCATATTCCTTCATGAACTCAATATATCCTTGTTTTATTGCTGGATCTTTCTGCAATCGTTTCTCTAACGATAAAAATCGTCGCGTGGCAATGTCACGACTCTCCCCAGCGCTGAAGTATGCTCCAAAAATGGTAATTGCACAATGTACCTTGAGTCCTGTGCGCGCTGGATGTTTTCCAGAAAATGAGATTCGCATTGTTTTTCGATTGGCGAATAACATTTTTTATCCGGTTGAAAATTATCAAGTTCCCAGAACTTGACAAGCTGCTCATCCACCTTTTCCGCTTCAGTCAGGACTGCACATACTGATGAAGTTGATTTTTGTTCCAAAATTTTACCAGCTACAATCCAACCAAGTTTGGTATTTTGCAACCTTGGTAGTCCCTTTTTAATAAATACATTTTCCGATTGCATTATATCAAAATAATGCTCAGCACCAAGGAGAATATCTATTTTTCCTGGTTTTCCAAATTGAGGGTCAGCAAGTTGTATACCATTAGGAATTTTCCAATTTTCCGTGGATATTGGGTATGTTGGTTGATCAGCGACTATATGGGACATTACAATCGCCTCAAGTCTTGACGCAAAATTTCCGTTTCTAGATTTTAGTTCCACATTAACTCGAGCATTGGAGGTGTGAGCCTTTCCACCTATGCCATTTATTTTATGTTTCGAGCTGGTGGTTTTTAATGCTAATTTCTGAATAACTCTTTCAGAAATAACATTTATTTGGGAGCCAGAGTCAAGTAGAGCTCTGAATTCCGCCATTTGTCCATTGTTTCCTTGAACTAGTACTCTAGCTGTGGCTAGAAGGACGTAACCATCATGCTTTCCACTTGCCGATGCCGCAGTAATGACATCCGAATTTTCTGATACCTTTTCCAAGTGCAGAAGTGTATTGTGTTTTTTATTGCACTTAAAACAATCTTTCCTAGTGCATGCCTTTGAAGCGTGATTTGAATTGAAACATTTTACGCATAATTTATTCTTTTGAGTCCAGTTTAAACGTTCAGCTGGAGTCTTTTTAAGAACTCATTGCATTTAAAAATGCTATGGTTCGGTTTCTTGCAGAAGAGGCAATTGAATAGTGTATCTGCCCCTGCTGCACATGTTGTTGGTTTTTTGGGTTTCTCTGAAGAAATAGCTTCTAATGTGAGAAACCTTTGCTCCAAAAATTCCAAAAATTCTTTAATTGACTGCATTTCTCGTGTGTTGAGAATCGATTGTTCGTAGAGCAAATGTGTTTGTCGATCTAGTTTTTTTGTTAGAACATGCAGGAGAATCGGATCCCAATTGTCCGTTCTTATTTCGATATTGTTCAATGCTGATAATGTTTCCTTTACATTATCATGCAACGATTTAATACTTTTGACATCACTAGATATTGGTGCATGATCTAATAATTTTTGGAGTAAAGTATTGCACAATACTCTTTTGTTGCTGAAACGCTCTTGCAACATATTCCATGCTGTCAAATAATTCGTTTCAGTTAGGGATAAGTGACGAATTAATCGTTCAGCCTCTTCCGTTAAATTAGTCTTCAAGTACCACATTTTTTGTATAATGGGTAATGAAGATTCATGAATCATTTTCTTAAACAAATCATGAAATTGCTTCCATTGCAAATAATTTCCATCAAATTTTGGAATTGTTATCTTTGGCAAAGGTACTGCTGCGATTCTAGGAGAACTTTCTCCAGTATTCTGTGGTCTGTCTACGCCGAGTGCCATTTGAAATGTTATAATGGCATCTTCAGCCATTTAATATCGGGAATCATCGTATCCCAACTCTTTGGGGTTTTTAAATTTTTTGTGAATTTGGACATGAATCCTTTTAATTTCAGTCCAATTTTCGAATATGATCGCCTTAAAATTTTGGCGTGTTTCAATCGTCACCTTACTCATGATACGCTCTAATGTATCAATGAGCACCCTTTGCTCACGGAACATGGATTCGATTTCCAGATCTTCTTCCGTAGACGTTAGGGAGGCAGTTTCAGCTTGCAGGGTTGATAGGTTTGTTGTGAATATATTCTGATATTCACTCACCAGGTTTCTAATTTCAAGAAAGTAATTATTTCTGAAGTACCCATGATCGATTTTTTCTCCTTTCAGGGTACGCTGGATTGTATCATCTCTGGAGGCAAAATTTACCCATAGACCCTCCAGATTTTTTTTTTTTTTTTTTTTTTTTTTTTTTAAAACACGCGCGTAGTCCCACGGCCCACCACCCGCCCAACCGACCGAGGGGCGACAGCCGTGTATCGTACGGCACGATTCGCGGAAAATTTGACGCGATGTTAATTAAGAAAAAAAAATTAAAAACGAAGAAAAATTTTAAATTTAATTTAAGTTTAAATTTAGCAATCTAATTTTGTGCCAGAAATGTTAAAACTAATTGCTTAAGGAGCTGCAGAGAGTCAGAAGAGGATAAAATAGGAAAAAGTCTATTGTAGTCAGAACAAAGTACTCTGAAAGGCTCATGCACGTTATAATTACGTCTACACTGATTTAAAACTAAAGGAACATAATTTCTAGTTAATCTACTTGGTACCGAGAAATTTAGTCTACTCAGCAAATTAGGACAGTCAATATCACCACGTATAAGGTTATGAATAAATACAGTACCAAGCATCGTTCTACGGTTAGTAAGGGAGGGCAGGTTAATGAGGAGCAATCTATGCGAATATGAGGGTAGGAATAGGTTTGCATTCCAGTTAAGGCGGCGTAGTGCAAAAATTAAAAAGTTTTTTTTGTACTGATTCAATGCGATCAGCATGTACTCCGTATTGAGGACTCCAAACGGGTGCCCCATACTCGAGGATTGGCCGGACCAACGATATAAATAAAGCCTTGGTAACGTAAGGATCCTCAAATTCCTTCGACCATCGTTTAATAAATCCAAGCATTCCCCTAGCTTTATTAACCATGCTCGAAATATGCAGAGTGAATTTAAGTTTGGGGTCCAATAGGACGCCAAGATCGTCAACAAGCGCTATTCTTTCCAAGGCACCACCACTTAGCGAATAGGTGACGTTATGCGGATTGACCCGACAGAACGTCATCAGCTTGCATTTGGAGCTGTTTAATTTTAGTAAATTGTCGTGACACCAGTTTTGAAAATTGTTTAGGTCTGCCTGAAGGCTTAAATGACGGGAGCAATCATTATACTGCAGACAGAGTTTTACGTCGTCCGCGTACATAAGTACGCGGGAATGCGTAATGATCGATGGAAGATCATTAATGAACAAAGTGAAAAGTAATGGTCCCAGATGGCTTCCTTGTGGTACACCAGAGGTAACTCTGAGGAGACCACTTAAGGAATTTTTGAAAAGGACTCTTTGAGTTCGGCCACTGAGATAACTAAAGATCCAACTTAAAAGATCTGCTGGAAACCCCATCATGTCAAGTTTGCGAATCATTAGGAAGTGATTTACAGAGTCAAATGCTTTACTGAAGTCTGTGTAAATGACATCAGTTTGGAAATTATTTTTAAAGCCATCTATCACGAAGGATGTGAGCTCTAGAAGATTTGTTGTGGTAGACCTGCGTTTCATAAATCCGTGTTGGCATGGAGATATGATTGATCTACAAAGGTGCTGCAAGTGGGGGGTTACTGCACGTTCGAAAAGCTTTGGAATTGCTGACAATTTAGAAATACCTCTATAATTGCAAGCATCCGACTTGCTTCCCTTTTTATGAAGGGGAATAACAAATGACTCCTTCCAAATGAGGGGAAACTGACAAGTTTGTAGGGATAGGGTAAACAGCTTGAGAAGGGGTTTACACAATGCATTTGCACAGTGTTTAAGAACGCACCCAGGAATCCCGTCAGGACCTGGGGAGTAAACTGGTGTAACACGTTGAAGATCCAAAAGTAGGGAGCTTTCGTTTAAGGTGGGACGAAATATTAGGTTCGACTTAGGTATTGCGTATAAATATTGCTCACTTGAATGAGACACTGTTGAGTAAGTTGTTTGAAAGAATTGGGCAAACAGATCGGCTATTGCCTGATCAGTGTTAGCCGTCCTACTTTCAAACGAAAGCGAAGGCGGAAAGGAACATGATCTGCGCTTAGTGTTGACAAAATTATAGAACTGTTTGGGATCCCGTAAGAACTGGGACCTGCAACGGACTAAATAATTTTTGTAACACTGAGCGTTAAGCACGGTAAAGTTTGACCGAGCTCTTATGTATTTTCCAAAAACAGACTGACAACCTGAAATTTTATATTTTTTATAAAGTCTGGACTTTACATTCCTAAAGTGTGTTAACTCCTTACTAAACCAAGGTGGTTTATGGGATGTTGACGGGTTATATAGCGGAACACACGAGTTAAAAAACAGTTTGATTGCCGAATAAAAAATTGTAATGGCGTCTTCCATATTATTGCAGGAATAGAGATCGGACCAGTCATTGCCAGATATAAGATGATTAAGTCTCAGAAAGTTAGCCTTGCGAAAACAATGAATTCGCTTGGCTGACTTTAAAGCATTATTTTTTACTGTTATACCAATGTCGATAGTCACCTCGAAAGCAGGGTGATATGGATCTTCAGGCAGCGTAAGTGGAGTAGCTCTAGTTTTTTTGTTAGAACATGCAGGAGAATCGGATCCCAATTGTCCGTTCTTATTTCGATATTGTTCAATGCTGATAATGTTTCCTTTACATTATCATGCAACGATTTAATACTTTTGACATCACTAGATATTGGTGCATGATCTAATAATTTTTGGAGTAAAGTATTGCACAATACTCTTTTGTTGCTGAAACGCTCTTGCAACATATTCCATGCTGTCAAATAATTCGTTTCAGTTAGGGATAAGTGACGAATTAATCGTTCAGCCTCTTCCGTTAAATTAGTCTTCAAGTACCACATTTTTTGTATAATGGGTAATGAAGATTCATGAATCATTTTCTTAAACAAATCATGAAATTGCTTCCATTGCAAATAATTTCCATCAAATTTTGGAATTGTTATCTTTGGCAAAGGTACTGCTGCGATTCTAGGAGAACTTTCTCCAGTATTCTGTGGTCTGTCTACGCCGAGTGCCATTTGAAATGTTATAATGGCATCTTCAGCCATTTAATATCGGGAATCATCGTATCCCAACTCTTTGGGGTTTTTAAATTTTTTGTGAATTTGGACATGAATCCTTTTAATTTCAGTCCAATTTTCGAATATGATCGCCTTAAAATTTTGGCGTGTTTCAATCGTCACCTTACTCATGATACGCTCTAATGTATCAATGAGCACCCTTTGCTCACGGAACATGGATTCGATTTCCAGATCTTCTTCCGTAGACGTTAGGGAGGCAGTTTCAGCTTGCAGGGTTGATAGGTTTGTTGTGAATATATTCTGATATTCACTCACCAGGTTTCTAATTTCAAGAAAGTAATTATTTCTGAAGTACCCATGATCGATTTTTTCCTTTTCAGGGTACGCTGGATTGTATCATCTCTGGAGGCAAAATTTACCCATAGACCCTCCAGATTTTTTTTTTTTTTTTTTTTTTTTTAAACACGCGCGTAGTCCCACGGCCCACCACCCGCCCAACCGACCGAGGGGCGACAGCCGTGTATCGTACGGCACGATTCGCGGAAAATTTGACGCGATGTTAATTAAGAAAAAAAATTAAAAACGAAGAAAAATTTTAAATTTAATTTAAGTTTAAATTTAGCAATCTAATTTTGTGCCAGAAATGTTAAAACTAATTGCTTAAGGAGCTGCAGAGAGTCAGAAGAGGATAAAATAGGAAAAAGTCTATTGTAGTCAGAACAAAGTACTCTGAAAGGCTCATGCACGTTATAATTACGTCTACACTGATTTAAAACTAAAGGAACATAATTTCTAGTTAATCTACTTGGTACCGAGAAATTTAGTCTACTCAGCAAATTAGGACAGTCAATATCACCACGTATAAGGTTATGAATAAATACAGTACCAAGCATCGTTCTACGGTTAGTAAGGGAGGGCAGGTTAATGAGGAGCAATCTATGCGAATATGAGGGTAGGAATAGGTTTGCATTCCAGTTAAGGCGGCGTAGTGCAAAAATTAAAAAGTTTTTTTGTACTGATTCAATGCGATCAGCATGTACTCCGTATTGAGGACTCCAAACGGGTGCCCCATACTCGAGGATTGGCCGGACCAACGATATAAATAAAGCCTTGGTAACGTAAGGATCCTCAAATTCCTTCGACCATCGTTTAATAAATCCAAGCATTCCCCTAGCTTTATTAACCATGCTCGAAATATGCAGAGTGAATTTAAGTTTGGGGTCCAATAGGACGCCAAGATCGTCAACAAGCGCTATTCTTTCCAAGGCACCACCACTTAGCGAATAGGTGACGTTATGCGGATTGACCCGACAGAACGTCATCAGCTTGCATTTGGAGCTGTTTAATTTTAGTAAATTGTCGTGACACCAGTTTTGAAAATTGTTTAGGTCTGCCTGAAGGCTTAAATGACGGGAGCAATCATTATACTGCAGACAGAGTTTTACGTCGTCCGCGTACATAAGTACGCGGGAATGCGTAATGATCGATGGAAGATCATTAATGAACAAAGTGAAAAGTAATGGTCCCAGATGGCTTCCTTGTGGTACACCAGAGGTAACTCTGAGGAGACCACTTAAGGAATTTTTGAAAAGGACTCTTTGAGTTCGGCCACTGAGATAACTAAAGATCCAACTTAAAAGATCTGCTGGAAACCCCATCATGTCAAGTTTGCGAATCATTAGGAAGTGATTTACAGAGTCAAATGCTTTACTGAAGTCTGTGTAAATGACATCAGTTTGGAAATTATTTTTAAAGCCATCTATCACGAAGGATGTGAGCTCTAGAAGATTTGTTGTGGTAGACCTGCGTTTCATAAATCCGTGTTGGCATGGAGATATGATTGATCTACAAAGGTGCTGCAAGTGGGGGGTTACTGCACGTTCGAAAAGCTTTGGAATTGCTGACAATTTAGAAATACCTCTATAATTGCAAGCATCCGACTTGCTTCCCTTTTATGAAGGGGAATAACAAATGACTCCTTCCAAATGAGGGGAAACTGACAAGTTTGTAGGGATAGGGTAAACAGCTTGAGAAGGGGTTTACACAATGCATTTGCACAGTGTTTAAGAACGCACCCAGGAATCCCGTCAGGACCTGGGGAGTAAACTGGTGT